AGGGCTCCATTCTCTTCTATCTCTACTCATTTGATCAATGTAAGGCTATCAGTCATAGGCTCTGGAGAATCCCATACAGATAAATCAAAAAATTGTGGATCCATTATTTAAAGCTGATCAGACAAACAGGGAGAAAGCTCATTTTTCAGACATTGCCTGAAATTTGACTTGAAAAGACTGGAACACATTATAGGTATAGAAGGGGCACTGATGAAAAAGGAGAATTCTAAAGGATTATGTTCAGTTCTAATTACCTAGCTGGGAACTAGAGTCAGCGTTGGGGAGTGGTATGGTTTATCTGTGTCCTCACCCAGATCTCATCTGGAATTGTAGCTCCCATAATCCCCAAGTGTCACGCGAGGAACCCAGTGGGAAGTAATTAAATCATGGAAACTGGATTTCCCATGCTGTTCTGGTGATAGTGACTTTTACAGGATCTGATGGTTTTATAAAGGGGAGTTCCCCTGCATGTGCTCTTTTGCTGCCACCATGTAAGATGTGCCTTTGTTCTTCTTTCACCTTCTGCCATGATTATGAAGCCTCCCCAGCCATGCTAAACTGTGGGTCAATTGCCCTTTTTTCTTTATAAATTACATAGTCTCAAATATGCCTTTATTAGAAGTGTGAGAACAATCTAATACAGGGTGCTAAAGGAGGGGAGAAGTGTGAGGTATGGAAGATTATAGAAAATTCTGCAGAAAAGGTGAGGGTCTTAGAACAGTAAAAGTCAATTTCATTCAATTCAACATACCTGTACTACAACCTCTCTACCTGCATCATCCCATATCACAAATTCTCCACCCTGGCAAAGACATCCACCCTTGCGTATCTCCAGCATTTCCTCTTGGCCAATAAGCCTTCTACTTACTTCACAACTTCTCTACCCATCTTGGTGAAACTGTCTTTGCAGAAATTTAAGTAATGAGAGAAATCTAACATGACTGGCTCCATCATGCTTCTAAACGCACAGGCTAAGGTGATTTCTTTTATTTATTTTTTATTTATTTATTTTTATTCTTTTGCTTATTCTAGCATGCAGACCGAGATAACTATGAAAGGAATTTAGTTGATAGTTAGGCTTTGATGCAGGGAAAACTAATCCTCGTTCTTGTTCAGAGATTGAAGCAGCATTCATAGGAAAAGGTAGAATTGTGGTAGAGGCTTGAACTTTGCTAAAGAAGAGACTAAAGAACTTTGCTAAAGAATAGTTAAACAATGACCTGCCATTGCCTATCTTGCTTTTCTATAAATTGCTTACCATTCCTAAAGGTGCATAACCAGAGGCTGTAAGATTTATAACTTCCCCATTTACTCCTATAGATAACTTCACTATTGTAAAACATAAAGAACTGGTCTTTGAAATATTTTTCAGATTTGGCATTTCAGCAGACCAAGGGATGTCTCTGGTCCTGCCCCTCCTGGGAACTAACTCAGCTGCATGAAGACAGTTTAGATAACCCTGTGGCTTCTTCCCTGGCCAATGGATGGTTTCAGTTCCCTAACCCCATGCCCACCAAAGTACCCTTAAAATCCCCAGCCTCTGAATTCTGGAAGAGGCAAATTTGAGAAATTTCTCCCATTCTCCTCACTTGGCTGGAGAGCAATTATTAAACTCATTCTTTGCTGCAACACCTACTGTTTTCAGTGCATTGACTTTTATTTTGGGGGGAAGCAGGCAATGCGAACCTGTTGGGCTGTGACACTGGGGCCCCAGAAGCTGCATTTCCGTCACTTCTCACTGTCACTCAAAAAGTCACCAGCCCCAACCCTCATCAACAAAAGGCATTTTATATGGATTTTCTTAACATAGTCACATTTTTAAAGATTTGGATATAAAAGTCATTGCTTTACACCATGTCATCTAAACCTTCTTAGGGACCTGAATTTTAAAATATGCAGCCTAATCAATTCCTTCAAGAATACACATCTTGGTGTATTTGGTTTTTTTTTTTTTTTTTGAAGTAGGGCCTACGTGGTACACTATTTGGTAAACCGAAAGATACATTCTTGAGTATTTTGGAGTTCAACCCTTAAGGCAGTTTCAAGCACAGGCAGATGAATATTCCTTGAGTTTGATCACTGTCAGATTAGTAACAGTTCATCTGCCTCTCTGGAGAAGTTCGCTGGGAGGGCTTTACAGATGCCTTTCCCACAACCTGTGACTGAGATAAAGCTCAGTGCAGAGTCGCTTGTGTATTCAGCCAATGGAAGGCTGAATACAAAGGAGAAATGGCAGACACGCCAAGTCAAGCAATCCAAGCAGAAGATGCTCAGAGAATGACTGTTCATTCACAGAACCAGCAGAAGCCAAAGGACTATGTTGTACTGGAGCGAGCATAGAAAGTCAACACGAAGACAAAAGTATGCCAAATTGCAGGGTCTTTATTGCCGGCAGCCATGGAGGACTCACGTCTCTCCAACCCGTGGCCCCGAAAGGAGGGTGCCAAGACCTTTTACGCCCATAAAACCACCTCGGGGTGAGGGTGAGGGGCAGGGGTGGGGGTGAAGGGCTTCAGACATTCCGAGGGCCAGTGGACTTTGGACACTCTGTAAATCACCTCCTGGGTGGAGATGAGGGTGACGGGCTTCAGACATTCTGAATGTTACTTAAGTGGTTCACAGAAGTCAAGATAAGCATTAGTTTACACATTGCCTGGGTAAGGTGGAAATTACAGTCCTTAGTTACTTATTACAAGTTGCGGGGGCCAAGATGGCGTGGGTTTGGACTGCTTGCCTGTCACATCAGGGTTGCAGAGAGCAGTTTCAACAGAAAGCTGAGGTATGGTTGAGGTATGCAGCTTTATGGGGCTTTTACCATGTCACAGACTACACCAACATTCCCTCGCATTTAAGAACTTACAGGCTCAAAACTATATCCATGGGTTCCAGCAGTATGTCATTGGGTTTCATGGCCTCCACATAAAAACTACCCCATTAAAAACTGGATTCTATCACTTAGGAGATCATAAAATCAGACACAGACATTTGACATGGAATGGAAGAACTGGCGATCAGTGCCCAGTTAGGGAAACAGAAACTGGGTGTTTCGGTTAGACGTCATAGAAGAACAAAAGCGGACGGTTGAGGTTGAACCCACATGACTGGGGAAGCAAGAGGAAAGTTGGTATTCCCCAGACCCCATCACTGGGGCTGATGGAGCCCCTGCTCCTGCCTGCCCCTTCTGTGGGATGCCAGGAGTTTGCACTCCTGTGGAAGCTGCAGGAGCCCTGGTGCCTACAGTCAGCAAGGACTGCTCCTGCTGGAGCCAGAGTCCAAGCTTTGAGCTGCTACTGCTGCTACTGCAATCCCCTGCTTGAGCAGAATCCAGGAAGCTGCCCTAGCTGGGACCTGCTATTGCCACTTGCTGGAGGTGACTTCAGAGCAAAAGGGGAAAAAAAAGGATCTCCCTTTCTTCTCAGAAGCAGCAAAGCAGCCCCTGACAGCCAGGAGCTGGCCTGGCACAGCAGGGCCAGGTGTTCTATTAGACATGAAAAACTTCATAACAGCGACATCAAACAGGGCTACTCAGGGCCAATGATGGAGCAAGATAAACACAAGACCACTTTATGATTGTGTGTGAACACGGACAAAACATGAGTCTGTTCAAACCATAAAAATGACCAAACATTCCCCCATTCTGGCTAATATTGACGCTGAAATGTGGGTTAGTTGCTTGCCACTTGTAGAATCCAATTGAGGAAGGAGACCCAGGCATCTGGGGTTCCCTCCCCTTCTGTCATCCACTGTGCATCTCAACAGAAGAGAGAGCAGACCAGCTGGCACCTCCTGAATCTCCTTCCTGAAAATAACACGGTCGGTCCTGGAGAAACTCTCTGGAAGACACTATTTTTACTTAAAACAAGATTAAACCAGAAAGCTTTTCACATGTGAGTCCTAAAACTGTAAACCAGAACGCTTTCATATGTGATTCCTGAAGCTGTAAACTGAGACCCCTTTCATATGTGATTTCTAAAGCTATAAACCTAAGATTCTTCCACATGTAACATCTAAAGTATAAGCCTATATAAAGGCAGAACCTTCCTTTGTTAGATGAGCTGGGTTTTGGACAAATTACTGCCCAAGGCTCCCGGTCGAATAAATCCCTCTTCCTCCTGTATTTGGTGTTTGAGAGATCCATTTCCTGCAGCCACTCCTACTACACAATTAACAAGAGTGAGGTCTGGTATAAAGCGATTTATTTCCAAAGCTTAGGAGAAGCGGCACAGGCATCCCACCTTTAAATGCACTACTTTGCTTTGGGAGCAGGAAGTGAGCACTTTTAAACAGCAGGGGAGAAACCCAGCAAGGTGGGGAGTCTGCATGTTAGCGTGGTGCCTTACCTACTAGGTGGTCAAGCTAGTGACAGCTGGCATCTTTATGGGCAGGACTAGGCTGACCACTAACCTGGGTAGGAGAGAGTAGTAGGCATGTTTTTTGACTATTATCTCTCCAGGCAACCCCCTGGTGGGTGAGAGTTTCCTAGTGGGCATGCTTTGGTTTATAAATCCACTGTTAACTCTCAAGGAGAGTTCTGTCCTGGGGCACACAGTTAGACCAGCCTGCCCTGTGGGGAGTGTCTGGTGAAGAATAGGGAAAAGTATTTGCATTTCTTTTTTTTTTGGAGACAGAGTATCAGTCTGTCACCCAGGCTGGAGTACAGTGGTGCGATCTTGACTCACTGCAACCTCCGCCTCCCAGGTTCAAGTGATTCTCCTGCCTCGGTCTCCCTCTCCCAAGTAGCCGGGATTACAGGTGTGTGCCACCATGCCCAGTTTTTTTTTTTCTTTTGTATTTTCAGTAGAGATGGGGCTTTGCCATATTGGCCAACTGGTCTCAAACTCCTGACCTCATGTGATCCACCTGCCCTGTCCTCCCAAAGTGCTGGGATTACAGATGTGAGCCACTGTGCCTGGCCTTATATTTGTATTACTAAAGGGTTAAGTAGGAGGTGGAGAACCAGGGGAACAAGAAGAGAAAATAACGACACATGCACACGAATGTTCATTGCAGCAGTTTACAATAGCAAAGACCTGGAACCAACCCAAATGTACATCGATGATAGATTGGACAGGGAAAATGTGGCACATATACACCATGGAATATTATGCAGCCATCAAAAATGATGAGTTCATGTCCTTTGTAGGGATGAACCTCAGCAAACTGACACAAGAACAGAAAATCAAACACCGCATATTCTCACTTATAGGCAGGTGTTGAACAATGAGAACACATGGACACAGGGAGGGGAGCATCACACACTGGGGTTTTTAGGGGGGAAATAGGGGAGGGACAGTGGGGGGTGGGGAGTTGGGGAGAGAGAACATGGGGAGAAATGCCAGATATAGGTGAAGGGGAGGAAGGCAGCAAATCACACTGCCACGTGTGTTCCTATGCAACAATCTTGCATGTTCTTCACGTGTACCCCAAAACCTAAAAAAAAAGAAGAGAAAATAAAATAATGAAATAATTAAACTATCTCTTAGGAAAGTGGAAGTATACAGTTACAATATGACTGATGACTGCTTCGTACAGTTTTGGCTTCACCTAGTTTTCCTGCCTTCTAGATTAAATGTATTAAGATACCCAATCATAGAATTAATCCCAATTCCTGGAAACATCTAACACCTCTTCCTTAATTAAACATTCCCCAAATACACTGAAAACAAGCCCAAGTCACATCATAGGTTCTTTCTAACACTATCTTACAGAGGTACCTCACAATTCCCATTGTGTGCAAGCTCCCTCACAAGAAGCAAACCTCACCTTTTTCACTACCGGAGTTCTCAGTGGCCTTTGGCTGGAGCATAGACACTTTCAACTTCCAATCTGCTGCCAGCAAAGGATGTTGGATTCTAACCATCAGTTGGGAAAGATGACTGAAAAGCGTGAAAGCCCCTCTACGCATGAAAGTAAAAGACAATCTTGAGTTCCTTCAAGGGAAACTCCAGGCACCTAGCTGGTCCTCGGAAACAAATAAGCAACTTGATAAGCAAGAAGCTAATGGCAACTTAAAATAACAGCTGAAAAAGCCAGAATCACATGACGTTTGGAAGCTAAAGATAACATTCTAACATATGTCCCTGAGTTGTTGTTCAGAAACCTGGGTCCCCGCCAAATGGATGCAGTGGCGCTGAGACCCCAGGCAATGAGGAGGTGAGGGCTGAGCTCTGGCCACTGTTTTGTTCTAAATTACATCCTGAGGGGCCTGGATAAAGTTATACCCACAGACAGAGCTAATTCTTTTCCACTGACCTCAAATTTTTCAACAAAGCTTCTCTTCCTTAACAAACTGCAAATCGGAGCATCTTTGAATCTACTGTGACCTGTAAGCCCCTGCCTCAAGATGTTTCACCCTGTTAGGCCAAATCCAATGAGCAATTTCCATGCATTGATTTATTACTTTGCCTGTAACCTCTACTTTCCTGACATCTACCCCTGTCTTTAAAAAACCCTTACCTGCAACCCATCAGGTTGTCCAACATCCTTTGATGGCAGAATATTGGGAGTTGAAAGTGTCAATGTCCCCACCAAAGACCACCCAGCACACCTGCAGTGGAACGGGTGGGGTTTACTTCTTGCTCTGAGGGAGCTTCCACACTCTGGGAACCGTGAGGCTCTGTAAGAGAGGGTTGGAAAGGCCCTGTGAATGGACTTGGGCTTGGGTTAGGCATTATTGGGGAGAGTTTAAGGAAGAGATGTTAGGTGCTGCCAGGATTTGGGTGTCAGGACTTGAGCATTAGCTCCCCAAACTTCCTTAGGTGGTACCCTACAGATAAACACCTCCCTTCCTCTGCTGCAAGCCCAGTGGAGATCTCTGCTCCTACTGCACCAGGTGAGCAGACCTGTTTGGTTTGAAAAACCACCTGAGTGCCGGGATAATTTCCACTTCTCTAATCCAGTTTTCTATCGTATCCAGTAATCTGCTGACCAACTCTGTTTTACGTTCTGTATCATGCACCACATGAGATGCGTTTGGTTAAAGATGCCTTAGGTCTCCACCTACATCCTTCACCCAGATAGAGAATAAAAAGCTCTATGTTATAATTCTGAATGTCTAATTCAGGACCCAGCAGCTGGGGTCAGGTGAAAAGGAAACTTGGTTTATATTCAGCCCCGCTTGAACCACTTGGACTGACAGTGTGCAAAGGGCGGTTTCTAAGAAAAGCTAGAAGTTCTGTGATTAGAATTAGGAAAAAAGGATCTAAGCAGACAAAAATAATAGACACTCAGTTGTAGTGATTTACATACTTAAAAAGGGGGACAGAGAAATGTCCAGGAGCCAGAATCTAGAACACTCAAGTCCTTGACCAACAGTCCTTGAGTACAGTTGACCCTCAACTAGACAGATCCTGGGAGAAAGTTTCTGCAGAGAACAAGCTCAGGAAAGTCTCTTTTCTTTACCACCCAAGGCTTTACCCCAGCCAGAACCTGCCAGCTATTGGGCTCATGTGGTGCAGATCATGTAGTCTTCTATGGATTCTGACTGCTGTGACAGGTTCTTAGCCTTTGCTAAGGGCAAACTGTTTGGGCTCTTGGGCTCTTAGGCCCAAGTTCAGGCTCCCTATGAAAACACTCTAATGAATATGAGAGTCAAAAAAAAAAAGAAAGAAAGAAAAAAGAGTCAAATGCAAGGAAAGGTCATTAAGGAAAAAAGGAGGCTCTTTGCAGGAAACCTCAGGCTTACCCTTCCTATCACATGAAGCAAGATAGAAGCAGAGCAAAGATACTGCCAAGGCCAGGAGCCCAAAGCCGAATAGGGTCATTCCCTGTGGGGGCCCAAGCTCTAAATTTCAACTGTTTTCATTCAAGCTCCACCCCAGCTCCATTTTTGGCTTGATTCTGATCTTTCTCTGGGAAGAAGATGTTGAGATGGAGAGGCATCATCAGACATGACCTTAGCCCCGTAACTGCCCTCTATGACTTATGTCTCTTATTTAAGCAGCAAAGGCCATGACAAATCAGGAGAGGGGAACAGCTGGGTATCAGAGACCTTGCCTGCCCTTGCCAATCCCTGCACTGGGTTTACATACCCACTTGGTAACAGTAATACAGGAAGTAAGCCCTTTAATCCTTTTAATATCCCGTTATTGAGGACCCCAGATGCTCCTGAAATGAGCTAGGATATTACGCCAATTATGTAAATCTAAAACACTGTGTACTCTATCAGGAAGCCAGCTGTGACATCCAAAAAGCTCACTCTATAAAGTTATCCAGCGTGTATCCAAAAACAACATAGCTCACTTGTATGATGACAGCTGTCCAAATGGGCCCTATATACTCACTTCTCAACCTGGAGGTGGTGGGAGTGGCCAGCACAGAAGGGTCACTTGCAATAGCAGATCCAGCCCATAGGTTAGGTAGCTGGGCTGGTTGGAGGGAAGGGACTCTCTGGGGAAGAATGCCCAAGTGAGTGACTCAGCCAGAAAGAAGATTTTCAGAGTCTCAGAAAACCAGCTTGCCATCAAAAGCAGGGCTCCAGGCCTGGGGTGCTGCAACTTCAAAGCAGACAGCCGCAATAACCAGTTGTCTGACATGGCTTGGCAAATACATTGTGACCCTCACCACAGGGACAGATTTGAGGGTAAGAGAAGAAGGGGCTCTAGTCCTCACCCCTTGGATCAGGCTAGTCTCAGGATCTGAGGTGAGCACGCCAGCAGGTGGGAGCCATCAGCAAACCAAGCTTCAAGGAGCCAGCCTGACCCTCCCCAAGATGGCTTGTCCTCCCTTTGTCTGAGCCCATCTATGGCCTTTTCCATTTGTGGTTTCCTGGGTGGCATCTGCTGCCCACTTTACAGATAGTTTTTATGGATCGACTGAATGTTCGAGAAAATGTAATTTACTGTTTAAATTTTAAGTGGGAGGTTTAATTTTAGATGTTTTGGCCCAAGTAAACATCATCATTATAAATTAAATGTCAGAGATGTCAGCAAACTATGTCTCTGGTCCAGCTTGTCCTCATTAATTGGGGGGAATGAGCTTAATGGGACATTCTGATGGTCTGTTTGCTCACCTCCCAGCACATGTTCTAGGTGGCAAAGTACATGGACGAGACTGCCTCTGCACCCAGCATCAATATGTGCCCACGTGATGCTTTATGCAGGAATGAGGTGGTTCAACAGGATTTTGTTAGATTGGCAAGGAAAAGCTGTGTGCTTTGAAAAGTTCAAAGTGCTCCTCAGTCCCAAACATCCCTCAATTGGAACAACCCCTTTCATTCATTTAGCAACAGGGCGAGGCTCATATCCATTTTTTTTAGTGCTATATCCTCAGAGTTTAGAACAACGTTGGCATATAAAAGGTGCTCAATATACATTTGGTGAATGAATGGAAGAATAAATGAATTTAAGAATGTTCCTTTATCACCCACCACGTGCCAGACACTGTCCTAGGACCCAGATGGCAGCAGTGAACAGCTGCAGTAGTGAAAAGGCATCCAAAGCCCCTGATGTCATGAAATTTCCAGAAGAAGAAAATGATCAACAAACACATAAATTCATATGTACTCTCTCAGATGGTGATGAGTGTAGTGCTGCGATGGAGATCAAAAAAAGCAGGGCAAGGAGATGGGGAGTGTCAGGGATGGGGAAGGTCTATGCAAGGGGGTCAGGGCAGCTCACCCTGGACAAGTCAATGGCTTATTGGAAAATTAATGAATGAATGCACAAATGATTTCACTTCCAAGTTACATCATAATTGACATAATGAGAGAAGGCTGGAAAAATAACTCCTTGCATTTAATAGTTCTGAATAACTATTATGGCTAACATTCATTAACTGTTTGCTACATGCCAGGTGTATTAGTGATCTTTTCCTGCATAACAAATTATCTCAAAATTTTTTCGCACTTCACAACTGCAAACATTGCTTATCACCATTTCAATGGATCAGGAATTCAATAGAGATTTATCTGGGCGATTCTAGCTCAGTGTCTCTCATAAAATTATAGTCCAGATGCTGGTTGGGGCTGAGAAGTTGAACTAGGTGGTTTTCAACAACTCCAAGAAGTAGGTGGTTCTCAGCCTAGTCAGGAACACTAATGACACTCTGTGATATGTTGACTGGCCTGAAATTCCCATGACCTGAGCTCTTGCAGAGACCCACACTTCTCCCTGCTGAGGAGCGGCTTCTTGAGTGGAGACCGCCGAGGCTTGTGCCTGTCCAGTCCTTGAGGTGTAAAGTTGAACTTTATTGATGTTTCTCTACTGTCCTCTTGTGGTCTTTTCTCATATTGCTGCAGTTCTTCAAAAAGCTGAAACTCAAGTATTTCCAAGAAAAAAGCTAATTACCATGGTCAGTACAGTACTTTGAACAGTGTTTACTAGAAGCAGTAGGAGATACACATTAATGGAATTCACCTTTGGAGGGTTTAGTCTTACTAGCAGTGAGACACACAGCCCTAGAAGTGTATGATATTATGCGGCAGTGTGTGTGTGGTGTGGCTCAGAGCTAGATCAGAGGTCTAACACTGCTCCCTACACATATCACCTTCACCACCATCACCATCATCATCACCACCATCATATTCACCACCACCACAGCTGCTGCTGTCACCACCATCATCACCAACATAAACACCACTATCACCATCATGTCATCACCACCACCATAACACCATTACCACCACCATTACTACCATCACCACCATTACTACCATCACTACCATTACTACCATCACCACCATTACTATTGTCACCACCGTTACTATCGTCACCACCATTACTATCGTCACCACCATTACTGCCACCACCATTACTACCATCACCACAATTACTACCACCACCATTACTACCATCACCATCATCACCGTCACCACCATTACTACCATCACCACCATCCCCACCATCATCACCATCACCACCATCACTACCATCATCACCACCATAACACCATTACCACCACCATTACTACCATCACCCACTTTACTACCATCACCACCATCACCACCATTACTACCATCATAACCATTACTACCATCACCACCATCATCACTGTCACCACCATTACTACCATCACCACCTTTACTACCATCATCACCATCATCACCATCACCACCATCACCACCATTACTACCATCACTACCATCACCACCATAACACCATTACCACCACCATTACTACCATCATTACCATTACTACCATCACTACCATCAGCACTGTCACCACCATTACTACCATCACTACCATCATCACTACCATAACACCATCACCACCACCATTACTACCATCATCACCATTACTATCATCACCACCATCACCACCATTACTACCATCACTACCATCACCACCACCATAACACCATTACCACCACCATTACTACCATCATCACCATTACTACCATCACCACCATCACCACCATTACTACCATCACTACCATAATCACCACCATAACACCATTACCCCCATTACTACCATCATTGCCATTACTACCATCACCACCATCATCACT